TGCAGTGAAAAATAAATCGAGAAACAGCGCACTTTCTAGTGCGTTATATACACTTTTTTCAACGGGTGGCACTGTAGCTCTCTGGTCGTCCATCGCATTTTTTTACAGACCAGCGAGCTACAGATCTGCAGCTACGTGTACCCTACCCTACACTACCATGCACCACTTACCTATGGTCATTGAGGATGGAAGTGAGATACATATACAACTATTTACACATTAGGATATATATAAATATACACCAAAATTTTGGATGTTATTCATTTATATTCAACTATAAAAAACATCATTACAGAAGCGGCACTTTAAATTTAAATGTCATTTGCTTAATTCCTTTAAATTTGTCAAGAATGGCAAAATTAATATCCGTGATTTCGTTTAAATTATTTTGATTCTTTTAAGTATGTGATCTAGTTTTAATGCAATTGCCATCAAAATGATCTCGTGAATTGCATCCAACTTTTTCTTATTTTATGCGCAAAGAAATGGTTTATCCCTGCAATTCACGTGATTATTGGCCCTTAAACATTTAACTATTACGTAATGAAGTAATTTTGATTTTTGAACCTGGAACGAGGGAAAAGTTTCCCCATATTTCAGAAACCTCACAAGAGAGACTTTGACAAGTGTGTATTTGCTCCATGGGTTCATATTGATTACATTAGGTACCGGGAGATTGAAGTGTCTAGGGGGATTCATGGGGAGTTCTATTGATTTTTCATTATTGATGAAGCATATTTATCAAAAAAAGTCACGAATTGAATCAATTTGTCATATGTCGCGCATCAATGATTGACACTAATCATAATTAAAAATTCATTGTGACGATGCCAGAACCTCGGTGTTGTGTAATTTCTGCAAAACTTTGGTCGCATATTTGTCTCACCACGCAGCAAAACTTTAGAAACACGGAAACATTTTTAAGATCTCTGTTAAATGAGCGTAATTTATCAGATATTACATCTTACTAAAACAACTATCATAATGTCGTATGAAAGACGATATACCAAACATAAAGCAGAAAGCAGTGACTATAAAGCTTAACTGTTATTTGATACACTTAGCAATTTTCAATATTTAAAATGTCAGTCAGAAGCAAAGGTAATTTAAGAGTTCTATTGTTTGTAAAGAATACAACAAAAACAGAGTTATGTAAATGTATTCAACCATTCCCACACAGAGTACATAGATTTTTTTTCCTTTCAAATAGTTGAGCACAACAATAGGGAAAAAAAATACGCTCGCCTCCCCATGTAGTGTAAATTTAAAATTGTTCAGTTCATGTTTTCCTTTTCGTTTTAAACCGGGCCACTATTTGGAATATAGGAATTTCTATTTTTAAAATATATAATACAACACGCTACATTCAGGCAGACTAAGTGAATAACTAAATGTTGTTGTATACACAAGGTATTGGCTTCAGCATCACGTTATGGACTACTATCGTTTACTGATTTTTAATTGAAAATTAAAATAGGTACACGACTATATTTCTTAGTCATGTACTTGTTTTAATTTTCAATTAAAAATCAACAAACGACACTACAAAAGTACTACGTAGACTTATCATGACCCCCCCCCTTAAAATGCTAACAATTACTTAAAGTTTATATATGGTGACGATTATTGGGTTTCATTTACATATTCATTTTGTCAGGTGAAAATTGTGGCCCATGGGCCTTTAAAAAATTGCTGGTTAAGATCAACTATAACTTTTACCTTATATGCATTTTTAGGAATAGAAGTATAACACAAAATTACACATGTCATACCAATTGGAATGACTGTTTCCCAATAGTTCTCGCGCCCTATAATTCTGGAAAAGATTAAGGTCTCGGGATAAAAAAAATAACTGTATTAGGATTGATCCACACAAAACAACTGTTGCATGCATACGTGGTTTCATTTTAGAACATTCAATCTCTTTGATGAGTTTGTCATGTTATTAGTTTACGTAGTGATTTACTTTTTTCATCTTCCTTGTATTGATTCCAAACATAAGCTTCTTAACATATATATTCACGAGGCAATAGATTGTAGACTGAGAGACTATACTCGGCCTCAAACATTAGACCGCATTTTGGGGGGCTCGTGAAAATGAAATGGTTTAGGTAAGGTTAAATACATGTATTTCTGATTACATTTTTGGACAGCGTACATATATTCAAAGAACTGAAAGAATTACATGTAACCTCCAAACGTGTATTTTTAGTTTACAGTAATAAAAAATATTCAAATTAATTAATCATAAACCATTCTGTTTCAAGTAAAAAACAAACAAACAAACAAACAAAAAAGACGTTTTTTCCCTGTTCATTGAGAAATGTTCAATGTTACGATGAATAAGTTGTATATCACAATCTAAGAATCGTTCAGGTTTTTTTTCTTCTTCTTTTTTTTTAAATCTTGAGATACGAAGTATATTTTTTTAGTCTTTGTGTACAGTCACGTCCATGTGATTAATGTACAAGCCAAGTGAATCCTAATAAGGACAGGCTGAATTGATGAGGGTCCTCGACAAAAGCATCATTTCAGCAGCATCATAGTGACATTTTTATTGCCAGAAGCTAGCATCAGATCTTTCGTTTATTTCTTGCGGTTTCGTATTATCCTAGAACTTATGTGGTAAATATTATTAGTCAAGATATATTAAGTATCAAAAGGTACGCAGTTCTTTTTGTTTCAGAATTAATATCTACAGAAAATATCAATAAATTTATAATTAATTAATTAATTTCTACAGAGAATATCAATTACGTTAATTATTCAAATCCTATTAACTCCTTTGTTATGGTAGAATAAGGCAAAGCCAAAAAAGATAAATAATAAATAAAACATATGGATAGATACATAATATAGTATACGTTAGCGTATGAGAGAAATTACAAATTTAATTGCCCGGAGCCGTTAAACATTGAAAAGCAATTTTAAATTAAATACCATAACAAATGAGATAGTATCTTTAAATATCGTATGAATAATTCATTTCATTGCAATCTGTCAGTGATTATAGTGTATGTGAGTTTCACACAAAGTGACGGTTTCAATCAGTCGATAACTTTGATTGTTCAATAACAATACTGCTGGACTATAATATGTACATAAAAACAATATGTGATATTCGTGTATTGTAAGTGTGTTTAATGAATTTTGAAACCCCATTTTTCCTCTCCCGATACATGCAATTTATTGCTTTAGTGAAAAAGGTCGCTGTTGCATATTCTTTGCTAAACCAGTCTGTATCTTGGTGTAGCAATTTCAGTTTTAGCATTTTCCTAAGACGCATGGACACAGTGGAGTTCAAAGTATTTCTTTCACGGGAAATTTTTCACTGTAATTCTTTTTTTTTCCATGAGCGGTTTTCTGTATTCTGTAATACAGTAACTTCTGTATTTTTCCGATTAGTAGATTTCTATTTTCTCCCACTGATAACTCCGTACTCCTTCCCATTGATAACCTCTGTATTTTTCTCAACTGGTACTGCTGCATATTTCTTCCTACTGGTATATGTACATGAAGATCTTTATATTTTTTCCTCTCCGGTAACTGTATTTCTTCCCATTGGTACAGGTAGATCTCTATAGTTTTCCCATCTGGTAATTCTTCCCACTGGCACATGAAGATCTCTTATATTTTCCCTCTCTGGTAACTTTCTTCGCACATGAAGATCTCTATATTTCCTCCACTGGTATCTGTATTTCTTCCCACTTGTACATGAATATCTCTGTATTTTCCCTCTCAGGTAACTGTATTTCTTCCCATTGGTACACGAAGATCCCTGTATTTCCCCCACTGGTACTGTATATTTCTTCTCATTGGCCTATGAAGTTCTTGTATTTCCTCCAATGGTAAGTGCTTTTCTTCCCATTGGTAATTCTGCATTTCTCCCAACTGGTACATGAAGGTCGTTGTATTTCACCTCACTGGAATGTGGGTCTTCATAAACCAATTCATCATTCAGTTGCTTCTAAAGCGTAAATAGTAAGTGGCATAACTACTACACATTCAATCTCCACTCCAAAGAAGTGTACCTTGACGACCTATCGCAAGATACTGGTCCACGTTATCTTCTTTTGTGAAGTGGTTTTTAATTACTGGTAAAAATTGATTCATAACCAAATCTGTATTTGCAATGTTATGTAACTAACATTCAAGATGTCTCCGATGGTATGAAAGTTTTCAAACCTAAAAAAGGCATGTCATTTATCATTTGGAATTAAAATATCTCTATCTCGTTTACGTCTTTTGAAAATTAATTGGTAACCAAAACTAGATGTTAGTGGATTATTTTATAAGCTTATTTCATTTTATTTTATGTTTTTTATGGTTATATTGTGGTCCAAGAATTTTTGAGATTATTTTTTGTTAGAAGCGTTTTTTGTATACGAGGACACAGCAATGATTAGTTTGTATTGTATGTGAACTATATATGGACAAATCAGTATTTGGTCAGTATGCGACCAGTATGTGGACACGCCAATATTGGTATGTATATGGATACACCAGTGTTGGTCAGTATGTGATCAGTATGTGGACAAACCAGTGTGGTCAGTATGTGGACAACCAATGTTGGTCAGTATGTGATCAGTATGTGGACAAACCAGTGTTGGTATGTATGTGACCCGCACCTTCAGTACATGCAGTAATGTGTTGTTCAGGGCTTTGCTACGTGTGTGAAGGGGTGGGGCAACATGCACAAACCCCTTATTACGATCTATCAGTACATCTTTGTTCGGTTACTAGTACAGTATAAGGTATTTAATGTTTGCACTCGTTTATCCCTGCTTTTATATGGCGTTTGTTATGATTTATTGATGAGCATTCAATACCACATACAGATTATAGGAAAAGCTCTCTTTTTTCCATGTAAAATATTCATAAATTGATAAACTATTGGTTGTAGAAACGCAATGAAAATCGGCATTCATTTGCTGGTCCAAGATCAGACTAGATGGTGAATTAATGCAAATTAAGTTGATTTTTTTAAAATCATGTTTCAGATGAAAACAGCCTGGCGACAAGACCTTCCGTGTTTACTTGTGTGTATTTTTTGTGCATGTGTAACTTATGGCATGAGTGTGGATTTTTCAAGATTAAGGAAACCATATCTTTTACCAAAAAGAGCAGATTTTCTACCAAAAAGAGGAGATTCGTGTAAGTCTACTTTAACATTTATATTTTATACTTTTGTCAAGAAAAACAGAGAGAGTCCAGGTGTATTCGTAATGATGCAAGTCCGACACATCAAAAGAAATGAAAGATCTTAACTGCATATCTGATTTTAAATGAAGTAGTATTATATTTTTTGTGCGCGTGAGTTTTATAAAATTTATTTTTATTACCCATATCTTACACTTTATCTTCTAGAGACTTAATCTCAAGAAGGCATAGGAATTACTTTTTATCTTTGATCCAGAACATCTCTATGGCTATGCAAATTTTTTAAAGACAAATGCATGACTTTTTGCAAGCTAAATTGTATGAATTAACTAAAATATTAAACAGGTCTTATAAGACTTAAACTTGAATTTTAAATTAGCCTTAATTTGACTATATTATTTTTAAAAGACATGAAACGGCACTAAAATTTCTACCAAGGCCTATTGAAGAAAAAAAAAAACCCTGACATTTTCACATGAACTGAGTCACCATGTTGCGTAATTGAAGAAACGCATTTTGAACTACACATTAACAATCGTGAAATGCATCAAGTTAGGCTTCTTTTTCACATATTTATAGGCCTATTTTTTGTTTTATCATATCAATCAGTAAGTAAATTAAGAAACAGTAAATGAAAAAAAAATTACGATATCTTAAAATATTTAAGTGTTTTGAGCACCATGCTTGACAATTTAGTTCTTGATCCAGCTGGTAAATGCAAATTTCATTTTGTGATCTGTAGTATTATCCTATTTCTACTATGATAAACAATACCAACACTTGCCATTTAAATCTAAGGACCCCAAAATACTATTATTTAATTAAAGATACATGTAATCTATTGCGCTTATACCTATTTTTGTCGAATTAATGTAAATTGCGCTGATATCTAGTTTTTTCGAAATAACGAAGGTCTAAAAGAGTTAAGGGGGAATGTTCCTTTTGAATCTGTGTCTGTATTTTTTCCCCCATCATTTATTGCAAAAGAATATCAAAAGGTGTGATTTTTTAAAATAAAGATACACAGTGGGTTTTTTTTTTTTTTTTTTTTTTGCTGTTAAACTTCACAATCGTTTTATTCATCATAGTTGAATTTTTAAGGCATTTTGATTAATAAATCAGGTGGTTTTAGATGAAAGGCTTATTTTTCACAGCTTTCTTCTTCTTTATTTATTTATTTTTTTTTTTTTTTAAGTAGTAGTCGTGGTATTTAGAGAGCTCCTCAAGACAAAAAATTTAGTTGTATTTATATCCAAATTGTAATATCGGATGACATAACAATATTTATATATTTTTTTTAAATAGCAAATCCGTGCCCACCTGAGTCCCCATTTCTATGTCGATCCCCCAAGCAGATCTGCATAGCTCTAGGAAATATATGTGATCGGCAGCCAGACTGTCCGGATGGGTTTGACGAAGATCCACAAATGTGTACTGCCAGTACGAATCTCATTTATTTGCCCTTATTTAATATGTACAGCTCCCTTAATGAAAATGGATGATGCTTTCTCGAACTGCTCAAAATAAATAGAGCTATTATCATTAGTCTTCATTACAACTTCAGTAAATGTGTCATTCTTTTCTACTATCTAAATACCTTTGTATGTTTCAGTATTTTTTATTGAATCATGATTTGATCTCTCTAGCAGAAACTAAAAATGGAAACTTAAAAAAAAAAAAATGATGAATTTGTTTTCATGTGCCAGATGTTTTCTGATGACAATGAACTTATTATCAATTAATACTATCCAATAAATAAAATCACATTTCTTTTTTTCAGGAAACCGACCTTCAAAAGAAGAACTTGAAAATTTTTTGTTGCGGAATGAAGATTGGATACTTCCTAAATTGTTTAATGGAGCATCTGCAGAAATTGTAGCCCATGCCTTAGTCGGTGTGTACATCATATACTATAAAATGTTTGCTAGTTTATGCAGTGACTTGCAGGACTTGAGACGATCTACTCACATATATTTAAAAAAAAAATGCCAATTTTGACTGATAAATAAATATATAAATTTATTTTTTACAGTATCACCAAATTTGAGGGAATTGGGTGAGATTGTGGGATTAGGCGATAAAGAAGATAACCTACGTAGAGCGTTTCTAGCAGTGAGGGAGGGAGATGAACGGCCTTTACTTAAAATGGGCATGCCAGAAGAGGAATGGTATGACGTCCAAGATTACCTTAACAGGGTCATAGAAGGTGGACTTGTTGTGTCATAAAACCGGACAATAGACAAAATGAACTGACACCAAACTCGATACTAGGTTCTGCATCCTTTCTTCATCATTTAGGAAACAAAATAATTTATTTCTGTATTTTGGCTCGTAGGCTCATAAGCACGAACGCTGAAAATGCTTTATATCATTATTTTCATGGGGTTTTTTTCGTTATCAGAATTCCAAGCAAAGTAGAATATAATTTTTTACATCTGTATCTATATTTTATGAATACATCTTAAAATGCATTTTACACATATATGGTATATATATAAATATATATATTTTGTTCAATATCTGTGTCAATAATGCCTAAAAATGTCATTTGTTTCTCGCATTTTATCACTTGAGCATCTTTCTTCTTGTAATACAAGAGGATGAAATTTGTTTCTGAACTGAAAGCAAACTGGACTTGACGCTTCGTGACTGTAATCGAATAACTTTACCAACTAACTTCATTTGGTCTAGGCAGATGAGTAATATATGTCTTCCTCTGCTTATTATATTCAGTACATTGTATAAGAGAATGAATGTCACGTGACTTTGTATCTCATATACTATTGGCTTAAATTATGGTGACGTGTGAGAACCTTTATGAAATGTTTTATACCTACATTTTTATTTGTGGCAACCGATTTATTAATTTATAATTGTATGAATAAATATTCACTGCCTATTGATCATTTTACCTAACACAACAAAATGTGACCAAATATTTTGTGGACAGGGCCATATATGTATGTAGAATTTGAGTGTGCTGCTAACTTCTATTCACATTTCATCATATGAACTGAAATTTATTTCTTTTGAGAGTTTGGATTTTAAACCACAATAAATCTCAAATGCTTAATTGTGGAAAACATTAATTTCTTGTTTAATAAAGAGCAAAACTTTACATTTATCTATATTATAAGTCAGAAACATTCCTTGAAGAAAAATTAAGAATTCTGGGAGTTTATGTATACTTCCTTCTTTGACAAACCCAATAACATGAATAGTTGTTGACAATGTTTTACAATGAAATTTTATTTTGTGCAATAAAATTTTACTATTTCGTCTGTTTTTTTTTAAAAATATTTATATATTTTGAATTATGATTTAGATAAAATTGTCAGCAATGTTGTGAAATTAAGTGAAAAAATAAGCAAATATGGAAGATTTTAAATTGATTGAAATAGAAAAAGATATATCTGAAACACGAAATTCTTTTTTACTGGTAAAGTCTTAGAATCCAGATTATTTTTTGTAGAGTAGTCTCAGGTATTATAAGATTTTTTTCTCCATGTTCATGAAATAAACTATTATTTTGTTTTCCGTTGTCATATTTCTTTGTTTCCTATACTTGTGTAGATTGTTTTTATAATTCCTCGATTGCTTTCCTGAAAGTAACTTAGCATCACCCACTCTTAGTCTGGGGTATTCAGGAATTTATTTGGATATATATGTCGAGCCACCCTGATGAAGTTTCAGAAATAAAACCTGGACAAATGTTCAAGAATTCATCATGTCCGTTTTCCCCGTGTAACTTTATATTCTTTAAATTTTATTCAAATCAAAATTGATTGCATTTTAAATGGTTTTTTCCTTGCAAAATTTTATTTAAAAAGCTAGCACAAACCAAAAAAAGGAAAGAAGCAAAATTTTATACAGCAATGATTCAATTTTCGTTGTAATGCGTCATTTGATTGGATAAACAAAAATAGAATGAGCTGCCTATGTCACAATGACTTACGTCAAAAACGTATCAATCCGCTTGACGTTACTTTTAAAATACGTACAATTTGAAGGCAGTTTTGAAGGAGAAATTTTCTTCTTCTTTTTTTTTTACACTTAATGATGAAAAGTTAAATTATAAAAAATGAATTTTCATAGCTACCAAAGTTATATTGGTATAACCTGGGTTGGGACAGTTTACGCTTTTTATAGCTACCAAAGTTATATTGGTATAACCTGGGTTGGGACAGTTTACGCTTTTTTATAAACCGCGTCGCGTAAACTGCCCTAACCCAGGTTATACCAGTATAATTTGGGTAGCTATTAAATTCATTCCTTAAATATCTGATTAAAAAAAAAATCCCAAAATGTGTTAATTTTTAAAGCTTGGTAACTGTGTTCTTAGCTAACTTGAGAATTTAATAATTCGGAATTTCTACATGACATCCATTGTAAAAATGTTAAATTACCTAATCATAAATGTAGTAAAAGACTAGAGTTATGTTCAATGAATTCTATGTATATCTGGTCATTGAACAGTCAGTACAAAGTAACAGCTAGAGAAACGAACAGCTAGAAAGACAGCTAGAGACACAATAATTTACAGTTAGAAAGGTCGGGGTTTACATCGCTTGGATGGACTGTATGTCACCCTGACTCTGCACTCCCCAGAATCTTACAGTTACACGGGCAGTGACGTGATTTACGATTTGATGATTTGATTGACTGATAAAAGTAAAATGTAAATTACCATTAATATATCTGATTGGTATAAAATATAAACATGACAGCATTCGTGAATTGATTGTGTCTAAATTGTAGAAATTGTAAGTTTGCCAGTACTTGTAAAATCATTATATCTGACTGGTAGAAAATGTAAAGGAGACAGAAACGGAGTAATAAATGTATCTGACTGCTATAAAATGTTCAGATGTCAATTCTTTTGCATTGAATGTTTCTGAAAAAATATGAGAGCATCACTGCATTCATTGTGTTTGATTACAAGAAATGTAAACGAATCAGTACTAGCGCCTTTTACAAAAGTATCTGGAAGGCTTAAAATGTACTGGTAATCAGTAGAATATGAGTATTTTAATTGTAGCTGACTGAAGTGAAATATTAAAAAAGACGGTATCCGCTAATGACTGGTGGAAAATGAACACAGCACAGTATCTCAGTAATCAAACCTGATTGGTGTAAATTTAAACATGACATCAAAAATGCAATCTAATTAAAATTAGATCTTCCATTCGCTCCCCGACTTTTTATATGTCGCGAGCGACATATAAAAAATCGGGGAGCGAATGGAAGATCTAATTTTAATTAGATTGTCAAAAATGTAAAAATTAAATCTGACTGGTATCCTTACCTTTATTTTCCTAGAGCATTACTACACATAAAATGGCAATAGGGTACTGCCGAGTATATCCACTGGTACTCTCTGGTAATTACATTCCAGTCGTAGCCTGTCCCTTTCATTCCCGTTTCGATGGTCCACTATGTGGCCTTTGGTATTCCTGGTTTTCTCTTTCAAGGTAATGTGTCTATTTCATCTCTCGTTTTTGCTATACTCTCTTTACCTAAACTTAGACATGGCACCAAGCAGTATCTATTATCCAAGTTCTTTCTACCACAGCCTTTTTGCAAATCCAATCTTGTCATTTATTTCTTTTATACTCCTATGAGATCTGCTTTCTTTTTCCTTGTTTGCTCACGGTGGGTGTGATGGGTCGACAGGGGATTCTTACTCCTCGTAGGGACCTGGTCCTACCTTTCGTGTTTCCAGGGATCCATGTTTTGTCCTGTTTACACTTCGTATTGTTCACAGAATTTGTGAGATTGATCTCCAGAATTCAGAAGCACACAAATGAACCATTCTTATATTACTTAATATAATACGAAGTATATATTAGGTTTCCTTGATGCTTTCCTTGATTTCCAGTTTTTGTTGTTGCTGCTTTGCCTGATTTTTACTTTTTCTTCCATATCTCTAAAATCTCAACAATACAACACTCACGAGGTAATAAAACATATATAATCTGTCTCTTTGAGATCTTTGTTGTTGTTTTGAATTCTTTGCTTTTATGGTTAATGCTTATAACCTTTCATTTCTTTTGATTGATCTATAGTCCTAGCTTGCTTTACTCATTTAACTTTTTTGAATATTTTGTTGTGCATGGCTTACTTATCATGTCATTTGATGCCTTCCAATGAAGTCATAATATTCAGTGCTTAATTGGAATTTCCATTGTCACATTCTTCATCAACCTGTTATTACCCATAAAGAACATGAACGGTGATAAGATATATCCCTGACGTACACCTGTTGTTACCAGAAGTTTTTCTTTCAAGAATTCTTCTCCAAAATGAATATTTGAACCCTTCATACATTTCTCATTGCTATTTGAATGAATATTGACAGTATATTCTATTTATCCATTATAATCAGAATGTGTGAATGATACAGTCAAACTCCTTTCAAAGTTAACATAGTTTATACTCAAGGATGACCTCATTTCTAGACTTTGTTCGATGTTGTTAGAAGAATATGTTTTCAACACAAAATCTATTCTTTCTAAACCACTCTATTCTTTCACTCTATTCTTTCCTTAAGATGGTATCCGCTTTCTCTTTCAGTGTATTATGTATAACCATAGACAGAATTTTCCCTGATACAGATAGTAGTGTGATCCCCTCTAGTTGTTGTGTTGTGTTAGATCCTCTTTGTTCGAAAGTATTTTTCCGCTATTCTTGCACATACTCTTCCTCCAAAAGCTTAACCTTAACAAAAAAGTACTAGAGTAAGCTATGGTAAATCAAAGTATCATAATTTTTACTCTGGTAAATCAAAGAACTTTCACTAGGAATTTAAAGTTGTTTTCCTGTAATAATATTTCATTTTCTCCCATTCTTTTAAGCGATTTTTTATAGTATAATGAAATATTGTATAGTCACATATTATTTCCAAAAGTTACATTATTGTTTTGGAATTTTAGATATGTATATGTATTAATGAAGGCCTTTAATCTCATAAAGGTTCAAGAATAAAGTTTCATAATAAATCAAAGCATCAAAGTTAAGTTTTAAAGTATCATAGTAAATAAAAGTATCAAAGTATTTAATTATGTACTATAGTAAACTATAGTTATCTTTATAGTAAATTATAGTTAATTATAGTAAATTTTCTCAGGGTTTCTAAAGAGAACACTTATTTCATTGCTTTATCAGTTCAATCCCGTTTTTTTTCTAGCCAGGCTGCTTTGTTGTTCTTCAGTTTCTGATCCTATCCTCGGTTATTTCTAAACAAAATCTAATTCTGAAGACTGTCCCTTTTCATTTTCTGCTGTGTTTTCAGTGTTCTCTGTTGAGATCAGAAGTGTTCCTGTCATCTCTTAACTTGTTCTTCGAACCATTCTTATCTCTGATATTCATGCCTGCCATATAATTTTTTTATTATGATGTGTAGAGTCCTTGGGTCTTTTGGTGCTATTTTTGCCTGTTTTTCTAAGTAATCTTTCGTCGGTTCTTGACGAATACGGAAGCGGATTAATGCCATGTTTGATTTTTTTCTACTTAAAATTCTAACTTTAAAAGTTGGTATTTCCATCGGTTCTTGGCTTTTTTTATTGGCAATCTTGGCTTTTCGCCGACAACTTCTTTACAATAACTTTAAACTTTTTTGTTTATTTCAACAGACGGCCTTCTGGTCTTCTCTTCTGATGACTCGATTTGCACTCAGTTTTTTTTTTTTTTTTTTTTTTTTTTTGGTTTTGTTTTGTTTTGTTTGTTTTTTGTTTTTTTTTTAAATCTTCTTGTTTCTCTTTTGCAAGTTCTCATGTGTTGTATTTTGTTTGTGTGTTTTTTAAAACTTTTTTTTAAATAACGTACTGTTTTTCATTGTGATTCGGTTGCTACTCCACTGATCTTCTTAAATGTCCTGATGTTATTCAGAGCCGGAAAATCTGTTTTTCATTTCTAATTAGAAGTCTTTCTCCACATTTCTATTTCTTAGTCTCTTTTCCTATCGAATTCCATTTTGGAATGCTTCAACTTTCGTTTAATATTTTCAATACAAAGCAGTGTTCACTATTTACATATGGCACTCGTCTAACTTAGACGTTCTCTATATATACTTTCTTTAATCATATGCATGATGTGAATTTTTAACAGTATACTCTGCAACTGGAGAGGCCGATTTTAAGGTGTGTTTTTCTAGTGGTGAAAGAATGATCCTCTCGCAGCCATGCTGTTATATACATTGCAGTCCGTTTCTCTGTTGTTGTTCATTCTTTCCATAAAATCCTATGCTCCTAAATTGTCGTGAGCCACCTTTCTATCACCCATAACAACAATGACTTTATGTGTTGGAATGCCTTATTTAATCCCAGGCAATATATTTCGTCTTTTTCTTCATCATTATCATCATTTGCGGTTACATAATACTGAATTAGTGACACAAGCTGTATGTTGTTCTGCGTAAAAATTTCTGTGACAGATGTTGTCGCAATTCCACAAAGAATTACATGTACTTGCTGTTTTACTCATAACTATTATAACTCTTACATGATATATTGCATCGTCTCTTCTTAAATAGTAAT